TTTATAATCTACATGTGGGTAACTAATTAATACATAAATATATCAAATTTGCAAACCATTATAGAGTAAACTCACTGTGGTGATTTACAAACTCTTTATTTGCAATTTATACGAATATACTGTGTTATACGCGAATTATGCGTAGAACAAGTATAAATCGATTTTTCTTTAATTTTTTTTTTAATGTGTAAAAAATCTCCATTTACGTACGAATTATATATGTCTAAAATTACATGCATGCANAAATTTACACAAGATTCNNNATTGTAAATCTCTCTCATCAAAATATTTCATATAAGCATGCTTGAAATAAAACATAAATTTAGATCTTAAAAAATTCTTAATTTTAAGATCTTTACCTTTTAAAATTCAAATTATAAATCTATTATACTTAATGAACTAATCAAATGCTTAAACACTTGCTCTGATACCACATGTTAAATAAAATCAGCATGCATGTAAAATTTGAGTACATGCATGTGAACAAATAATATATGAACCCTAAGATCATTAAGCATNTAGATTAATTACATAATAGAATTATAAAAGTTAAAGGAGTACCTCCATTCATCATGATGAGAAAATCTTCCTTATATGGTTGATTTGATTTGAAGATGAAGCCTTGATTTTTGATTAGGACTTAAGCTTTCTCTCCCCTTTCCTACAAACATATCTCTTATGTGTTGTGTTTTTGTTCTCACTTTAATCACACCTTTATGATGGATTAAAGGTAAGTATTTATAGGAGGAGAGAGGACCTAGTTTCTCATTAGGGTTTTGATCTCAACCATCCATCATGGTTAGAGATTAAAACTTGTATGACAANTGTTAANTATGCNTCTAATACATGTCATGGAATTAGCCATGAATNTNACNCATTTGTCTNTTNTACTTTACACTTGTTAGAGATTAAAACATGTAAGACAAGTGTTAAGTATGGCTCTAAATACATGTCATGAATTAGCTGTTAGTGTTGTCATATGTCTCTAATACTTTACATCTGTCTCTCTAATATTTTTCTTAATTAGGAAATTAAAACTTCTTAATAATTAGTTACCAATGTTATTAAGGAATAACATTTTCATTAGAGAATTATATGAGCTATATATATAAGAACATATAATTGGGAAAAATTCATTTTCCTTACATTATATACGGTAGGTGGGCCAATCTAGTTCATGTAACTTAACATTGTATCGAACACGCTGCCTATCGACGGAGATCGAGGTCCTCTAGTCCCATCTAAAGAGGCACAATAGATCTGACATGAAATCAGCCCCATCCAAGCTTAGTCAGACCAATCTAACCTGAAACTAATTCTATAATGGGATATTGTCGAGATTAATGGCTACATGCGTTATTGTCTCTAGGAGGAAGGA